TCATTGAACCACAATACTGACAAGTGATTAATAAAAGTCAAAAGACCAAAGAGGTCACCTTAATACCAAAAAAAAAATTAGAGATCTGAATAAATATTATTAAAAATACAATTATATAAAATATATAAAAGTTAAATTTATAATTATGATTAAAAAATTTTAATAAAATTTTTTATAAGTTTATTAAATAAAATTTTTTAAAAAAATTCATTCTTATATAAATATTCAATTAAATTATTGCTAATTTATAATTATAAATTATTTTTATATATTATAAAACAATTATATAATACTCTTAATATAATTATTTTATTTATTATTAAAGATAAGCATATCCAAAATTTATGTAAAATACTATAATATAAATGCTTTAGTAGGATCAAAATGTTTTAATAAAATTTGACTTATTCTACAATATTTTAAAACCAAAAGAAATTTAAAACCAGTTAATTGATTATCTAATCTGCAAATTCCATATGGATCATACATATAATGCATGTAAGATTTTTGAAAATCTGTGATTTGCTTATCATTATCTATTATACTAATCTATTATAATAAGTTTGAATCAATCCAAAACAGAATTCCACAAATATAATCTTAACAAAATTAATCAAAACTAAACTAATTAGGCTAACCTATTGGATTTTGATAGGATTTTGACCAGCATCTATCATAACAAACAATTGAAAATTTATAAGATTGTCTCTATTTAAGTGATTTGTTTTATGACATTATTTCATTATTACTCCAACATGACTGATCCACATGGTACCATTAGTGATGCGGTAGAATCATCCCAATGATTTCGTCACATTACCGTAACTTGCCATAACTATAATGTAGTAAGTTACGGCCATAAGACCATAACTTACTATATTGATATTACTTACTATAGTTACGGCAAGTTACGGCAATGTGACGACTATCATACAACAGGAACAGTGCCCGATCCAAAAAGAATCCCTCTCGCCTGTGATCAAATTAAATTATTTATGTTGGATTCAATTGTGATGGATATAATCCATCACCAGTTTTAATATATGTGTAACATTGACGGTCTCTGCTATTCGACTATCATTGGGACGATTCTACTGCATTACTAGTACCGGTGCACTTGGGTGACTATGCACCAAATGATAATACCCTTTCAATTTTATATGAAAATTTCAAAATACCATATAAACTATATAAAAATGATCTACGTATCCTCTACCCTTAAAGTATATAAATAAGAATCTATTCAATAAAAAATTTATCATAAGTAATAAGTGCCAATTGTACAGTAAAAAGTTCCACAACATGAACGTAAAAAAATTTCATATATATTATTACAGTATTATCGTTTGTAGATAATCATTTAACTGATAAATCCGATTTACTTAAATTTCTATTGGTTAGAAAATTTACACGTGAAATGTCGATCTGTTGTTATTTTGATCAAAAACGATCAAAACAATTCCTTTATTTATTTGATTTTTTTTAAACTTACTACATAATACAGTAATATATAGCTTAAAAATAAACCAAACAAGGCTTAGAAGAAGAGTAACTTAAGTAAGTATTGATTAATGTGCCGCTTCAAGATGCTGGCACTTGAAGTTACAACTCTTCTTTTCTCATATATTGAGGTCTACCGTTCCTACAAGAGGGTTCGGTTACGTTCCTTCCTCGGATATGTTGAAAAAAGGGTTGGTTGGTCGAGTCGCTACACTGCGTCTGTACTTCTCGTTCCTAATATAACTGCCCCAAGATTATATCCCAGGCTTTTTGCTGCTTACCTGATACCTCTGGTGTATTTCTACGAATCGTTCGAAATAATCGGATGTATCATGGTTTCCGGAATATTTCTGATCTATTCCTACGAATCGTGACATTTTTCAGAAATGTTACGAGGCACTAGAAAGCGTGGGACGTAAGGTTATATTAAGGTGTAGGGCAAGCTTTAATATAACCCGTTATATTAGGTCACATAGTTAATTGGTCTTACTAGTGTTTAACACCTTAACACTAATCACTCTCTATTTTTTTATTTTTTTTTTTTACACAAATACTTTAGGGTTTTATCGAGCTGACGTTTAACAGTTACGGAAAAAGAAACAACGAAATCGTGCCAAAAGGATCGTTAAATAGACACTATAGGTATATTATAATATAATTAATATTAATAGAATAAATATTTTAAATTAAGTATAATTTTACTAATAATGACATGCTACTTTTTCAAAGTTGAATTGAGATGCCTTAGATTAATTTTTTATTTGTATGCTAGTTTGAAACGTATACAATGAGTGTAGTAATAATAAAACGACTTCGTATTGATTTTGCGCAAGTTTTTTGTATCAATTGATCAAATACTACAAAAAATTGAGAAAGTTATTTTTTGTCTTACGAATATTAGATTACAAACTTTTTTTGTTTTTGTTATCGATTAAATATTTGAATTAGATCATATTCTAATTAACATATTCGTTAAAGAAATAACATTAAAGTAGAATGCTGATATACTTGCGAAAACAATGTACCATATAAGTGTAAAAAACGCAAATCGATTATTTTAACCTTATACTGTAAGTCGGATTCGTATTATTCAAAATATTATTCTAAATTAATTATTTTAAAGTAATTATTCTAAGTCTAGGTAAAATTTAAAATTTAATACGTATATACTAATAAAATATATAAAATGCATTTATTATTATGTTTTTTAAACTTTCTGTTTTTTAAGTTGTTTTTTCATGTTAGGGTTAGTTTTTAGATTAGTATTAGGGTTTGGGAAGGGTTTTCAAGGGCGTAGAACATTTTTACTTAGAACACCTCGTACTAGTTAATTAGCCAGTTTTTGAGATAATGCATGCATAGGTGTAAAACGCCATTGGTGCGTTTTAGTAAAATCCATTAAAAAAAAAAACAAAATTTTTAATACTTAATTGCATCAAAAATATTTTTATTATAAGAGATTGATTAGATACTCGTACGTACTATATAAATTTTTAAATATAAAAGTATTAGGTTATACAAATTTAATGCCTTGGTTTTTATGAGACTTTTAAATTGATTCGGCCAACTGGCCGACTTTTTTGATAAAATTTATTAAGAACCTTCCCACTTATTAAAACATCAAAAAATTTTTTTTTAAAAAAAATTTGACCAGGTCGGATTATAAAATCCAATTAATTTTTGTATGTCCTTACTAAAGTTATGTAAATTTATAATATATACTATGTAGTAAATTGTTTTTTTTTTAGATTTGATAAAATTTAAAGAGTAAAAAAATGCACTTAACGTTAATATGTACATAAATACATATTTATAAATATTTAAAAGAAATATTGATTATACAATTTTTACAAAAAGTGATATTTATACGTATAAAATTTGACTTTGCTAAAACGCACCTATTAATCCATTACTAACTCCAACGTGAAAAAATTTTGTTAAAAATTTTATATTTAAAAAAGAAAAATTTATAAAACATAATAAAAAAACATATGATAAGCACCAAATCACCGTAAGAGCGGTTTATAATAAATGAAAAATTTTGTCTCAACTTTTAAAATTTTAGGGTTAGATTTTACTTAGTACATTCATCAAATATCGATCATTAAAGTCATTTTTGATCCGGTCAATTTCACTCTTGGTGAGCGTTAAAATTTGTATAACAAATAAATATAAATGCAATATTAATTGCTATTCCTGTGTTCTAATAATTATAAATATATTATAAATATAAAAACTTTATATAAGCCTTAAAGTAGTTAAATTTTAAAACAAAATAATTTATTTATTGCGCACTAATTTTAGCAACTTAGAGTCGTTTTAAAATTTTATTACCCAACAATTTTATTCCATACGATATATATAGTTTATTATACTAACACCCCCATTAATTGTTTTTATATATAGCTATTAACCATAGCTATTATGCTATCAAAGTCTATCTACACATGCTAAAAAGAGATTTACAATTCAAATTACAGTAAAATAGCTAACAAAATAGTTTGAATTTTAAAGTTTAAATACTTCGCATCCAAAAGTTCTAAAGTGCTGTAGGCATCACATCCAATTGCTTCTTGATGTCTCCACAATACTTTAATATAGTTTTATACTCTGACTTATATCTCTCATTACTACTCACTTTCGTTGTGTTAGCTCTATTATAATTAGTTTGTTCATTAATTGTGCTCGAATTATCACAATTGTTACAACCATCATTCTCTAAATTATCCTCATTATCCTCATTTTCATCAACTAAATCGTCTTTCAGAAACAACCATCTCGCTTTGTTGCACTTGGCTCTTTCATCCAAAAGCCAATTAATGTATTCACTCTCTAATAGTCTTTTATCGATCAAATTTATAAGTCTGAACGTAAGTAGTAGATCATATCGTAACATCGCTACTTTTTTTCGCGAATGTATTATTTCCTCGGATAACCGACGATGTGAATGGAGTAACCATGGATATGGTGGATATTGAATTCGTGTGTCTAGAAATTGTTTGTAACTAACATGAAAATAAACTGATTCTGTTAGTTAATTTGTAAAAAAAAAAAACGAAAAAATAGTATCAATATTCTTTGTTAAAATAAATGCCTGGTAAGATCGACACCATTTATTATATGTGCACTTTTATTCAGAATATGCTCTTCCAAATCTCGAAGATATACTGCTGGCGTTCCATGAGTTGATTGAGTTGATTGAGTTGATGTTGAATCAATTAAGCGTCCAGTACTGAACCATATATAAATATTAAATGCTAATGACAAAATCAGAATCGTTACAAACACATCATTTAATGATAAAGAAGATAAGAGTTCAACAACTGATGAAATAATTGTAAAGATCTTCTCTCTTAAAGAAGTTGAAATGTCTTCAGTCATTTTTCCTGATGAACCACCAGGTACTGAATTATCGTCACTTGTAGTGTGTTTTGAATGGCGACTTTTGGGTGCACGATGATGAGGACGACGACGAAGAGTTGAAGTATATCCTCCGTGTGTTGTTCGTATTGGGGAGCTTGGTAAGACAGTTGATACATTTTCATTTTGCACATCTGTATTAAGTAATTCAATTATATCCGCTACAGTTTCTGATAAGCCGGCCATTGCAGCTTTTCGAATCATTTCTATAAAAAAGTATGCGCATAAGAATTTTATGAAAATTACTTAAGATTATTGATGGAATAACTAATTACTTTTAACCATTGGTGACTTGAACCATTTGATTCCAATGTGGCATGCCAATTTACATGATGTTTTCGAAACATAAGTTATGCAGCACTTGCATATTGGTAAAAATGAATCACTGTATGGCAATTTTAGAGCTTTTGTTTGTATTGAAACAACATAACATCTGTTCACAAAAAATAGATATATTAATAATGCATTCATAATTAAGAAAAGATAGATTAAGAAAAACTTACAAATAATCTTCGCGTTTTTGACAAATTTGTGTTTGAAGGCAGTCCGTTTCTTTAACATTAGCTGTTACATTTCAATTTTAAATTAGATTTTCATTTTCTTCACTATGTAACATTCAAATATAGATTCATTACCTAAAAAAGGATTATTAACTGGCATAATAAACTTGAGTTCTCTTTTTCTTTCACCATCCTCACTATTATCTATTACCCATGGTCCACTATGCAGTAGTGTGTTTCCTTTCTTTTGATGTAACCGCTCCCATATTGCACTCTTTTCATCAAAAAGCATGTCGAATAATTTTTTTGCAGAAATTTGATATTCTACTTCAATTTCTAATTTTTCAAGATGATCCGTGCATTTACATTCAACTGGTTCACTCGGTTGAGTTATATGTGAAGGCCAGTCATCGTCTGTGATTTAAATAAATATTTTCAATCTTTGTTTTTATGTAGTTTATAAACATGGTCCCTATTAAAATCCCGGAAAATCAAACTCCCGACAGCTTAATAATTTGGTAATTACAGAAATAAAGTTCTCTTTATCTATATCCCTTACCTAGAGGAACCCACCAAAAAACTGCCTAATATCATTGTGACGCTTGTAGATAATGTGCTGTCGGGTATTTGAATTTTAGTGATTTTAAATGGGACCCTTTATAATAGAATTTGGCTTATCCTACCTTCTTGTGGTTTAGAAGCAATTGGAACAGGTTGTGGATCCTTTGTAGCCAATTTATCGCTAATGTAATATACATAATTCATATCCAATGTAGCAATTACAAAAAAAAACAAATCGTTGACTAAAATAAAAGCATGATGTACCTATCACTTTTCGTTTGATCATCTTTCATTTCAAATGCGTCTGATGCTTTTTGATTATCAGAATGATCAATTGAATCTTGTACATCTTTTTCTGGTGGTGTTTCAAGATTTATCGAAAAATCTTCTTTATGAAACTCTGCATTCTTGTCATTTAAAGCTTCCCTAGATTTTTTAGAACGTAGTGGTATGTGGTCTTTCCACACTGCATCATACATCGCTTGCAACGTTGACGGCTTTCGATAATTATTAAAAAGTTATAAAAATAGATATTTAGCATAATGAATGATAATTTCAACCTTTGATATTTATCATAGAAGTTACCTTTTCACTGGTAGCAAGTTTCCAAATTAGATGTGCTTTGTCGTATAGTTCATTACTTGATTCCATAAAAGTTTTTAAGACATACTAATATAATATAAATATTATAAAGAATTGGTTCATATAATTTCGCATTCTATAAAAAAAAAAAAAAAGAAAGAAAGAGGACGATGAAAAAATCACCTTTTGGTTTCCATTTTCATTAGAAAATTCAATAGTCTGTAGAGTATTTGTAGTCTCCCGGGTAATTGATTTTATATCTTTCCATGACACACAAAACTACAAAACATTAATTAACATATTTTTAGAAGAGTTAGAATAAAAAAAAGATACTTGAAAATTTTTGTTTACTAACCGTATTAACTATGCTCATTACTACAGAATAAAAATAAAGAATATCTTGTGTAATATATACACGCCCTTTTAATAATACATTGTTCCTACTCCAGGCACAATTGTATACTGTAAAAAATGATTAGAGATTTAAATTATAGTCATCGTTTATGTGCACGCGATTACATAAATTATCGTAATTAATCTTACCATCTAACACAAATTCTCTTTCTGTTGAGTTTGGAAATAAAAAGTGAAGTTGCACATTATGCAAAAACAAAATCTGAGAATATTCAGCTATGGACCTATTTAGGTAGTAGTGAAGCATGATTTTATAAATATCTAGTCTTTTAAGAAAATAAATTATATGAAGCCATCATTTACCCATCAGCTCCATATCCAACAGGTCCACTTCCACTACGAGATCTACCACCTTTGCTTCTAAAAGACGATGATCTCTTTCGTCCGCTTGTCTCATCTCCAGCTTCCTCATCTCCTTCCGTTGAATTAACTGTATTGATGAGCAAATTCATTGCAGGCATAAATCCCATTTGTAAAGTTCCCCAGAAATTTTGTTGACTGGCACCTGATGCATTTCTTTCATTAACAACATTTTGTGATGCTAACGGAACAACTAAATTTCCAGTGTTACTGAGGTGTAAATTAGTTCCAGATAACTTGGATGGACCACTATAAGTAGGAACTAATTGTGGCCTTGGAAGATTAGGTATAGATGAAGATCGTTTTCTATTGGCTATATTTGAGACGTTTAAAGAACTTGATTTTGGGTCACCGGAAGATGATGTTGCAAGATTGGATGATTTTATATCTAATGCGTCAAGTTGGGAACCTTCACTAGATTTTAATACAGCATCATCACTGCGTTGTTCTTCATCAGTGATAGGTTGATTTTGTTCATCTTCTGACTCTTTATGTGAACTTACAGCTGCAGCGGCAGATGTTGCAAGGTCTTTTGTTGAGCGGAAAGCATGACGCTTTGCAGATTCAAAAGTAGTGATCCAATCTTTAAGTTCAGCTTCGGTTTCAGCTTGAAGAACATAACTAGTTCTTCACAAAATTAACGAAAACCAAGTTAAATATTAGAATACTAAAAGAACAAATTATAGATTTATAGCAAAAAAAAAAAAAAACATACTGTTTAGCACCACATACAACTTCGAAGCAGAATCTTCGATCTTGTGATGTATCTAACTTCACTTCACAAAGTAAAACACCCATTCTTTCACTCTCCTCGACTGTGGAACGATTTTTTCCGGATCCAACAGAAGCCCACCAAAACATTCCATTTTTTAAATAAAAATACTTTTTCGTCCAAGTACTTTTTCCACCAAGAGGTTTCATGAAAAGATAACCTTGTTTTGGAGGTATATCAGCGAGACTTACGGCAGGAGAAGGGGGACGATTGAATTGTAACGAATTTGGTGTAGGATGTATTGTTATGGGGTTTACGTGATCAGTGTATTTTGTTAATTTACGACGTGGTTTAGTCATATTTATTGCATCCTATGCATATCACATATTTAATTTGTTAAATAATAAAATTTTTTTTTTTAAAAAAAAATAATAACCTTTAAAAATGAATGAAAAATTATACCTCTTCTAATTTTTTTCTTAAATCTTGCAGAACCGGTATCTGACTTTCACATGTTTTTTTGCTCTAAAATCATATCGATTTCATAAGCTATATGTAATTTTTTTGTTAAATATAATACTTAATGAGATTATGGTACCTCACATAACCATCCCTTTAACCTATCAAGACTGTTTTCAGAACCTTTGTATATCATCAAACATGAATCGTGGAGTTCTAGATGTGCACATATACCACCCAAAAACTAGTTATCAAAAGATAAAAATAAATAACTTGTATGAAATTAATAATCATTATAAATTATTGATACTACAAAGCACCTGATCCATAAGAAAATGATCTAAAGCGGATCTGAATTGGATAATTTTGAGAGTATAATCTAATGCATTTTTTATATATGTTTTCCGAACTTCAAATAATTGAAATGCATCCTATAAAAATATATATATATATATATATATTATTTATTTCAATGTAATTAAATTTAAAGAACAAAACCCAACCTCTCGCAATGCGCTTGCTTCCTTAGTCTTTGATTGAGATGCGTATTTTGATATTATACTATCATATTTTTCAAGTGCTTTATCATAAGCTCGGCGAACTTCCTATTGAAAAAAAAATAAAATTAATAATATATAAATAATTTTATAAAATAGATAAAAGATTTAAAAATACCTTGAATTCCTTTAAGTCATTTTTTATAAAATGATTTATTGGTTGTGAAAGCTTTTCATCAATATCATTGGCCTTTAATATGAACACAAAAAATAAAAGTAAATAAATTTTTAAATAAATATAAAGTATTTGGTTTATTTAACAAAGATATTTAATAAATGAATTATATATATATATATATATATATATATTTACCAATTTTGCTTTAAATGCGAAGGTGGTTTGAAATATATCTGTAAATAGTCTCACAGTTGGTAATGTAAATTCACTATCTATTTATGTTTACAAATATTTTAGTAGAAATTTATAACAATTAAAGATGTAGATAAAAGATAAAATTAATACCTAGTAATGAATCTTCAATAGGGGAGGAACGCTTTGCCAAATTGTTGCTTGCATCGTTGAATTCTGAATCAATGAATCAATGAATATATCAAAATATGATTCAAAATATTAATTAATATAATTTAATTAACTTAAAAAAAAAACAAAAAAACTCACTGTTAACTTCTTCAATGTAATGTTTTAAAGCTTTCCAAAACCCATCTAACCATTTTTCAAAATGATCCACATGCTCTTCAAATCTTCGAATGTTTGCACGGAAATGAGGTGTATCGAGAATAGTTTCTTGAAAATTAATACAGCTGATAACAGTTTCCGCGGGAAAAGGTGGTGCTAATGATGTGGCAGACATTGTTTTTGATTTATTTTAATTTATATTATTTTTTGTGGCGAAAAAGAGCCAACGGATTTAAACGCATATAGTTAATAATACTTAATGTAAAGAAAAAGGATAGTGTCTGGTTTTTCCACTGGATCAATTAATCAAAATTGTTATAATTGTATAAAGATAAAAAAGAAAAAGAAAAAGAAAAAAAGAAATCGGATCTGCTTTTATTTGTCATTGTGATACAAAGTTTTTAAATGTTACCTAATCGTAATTACGTTTTTATTTAAATAATGCAATAACTATAACAGATAGCATGAGCCACTAACTCCTTTCTTATTCAAACGAGCTGTTTTACCTTTAAGTAGGCATTGCTTGATACACATAAGGACGTGCATATTATTACATGACACGCTACACGATTGGTAGTGTACCAACATGAGTACTACATCAGTGAATGTTATGAAAACGCTACGTACAGGATAATTTTTCCAAAAAAATATTTACATGCATGTCACGAGCACTTAGAATTACTTGGCAATAAAAATTAACTACGTATACGTATATGTATATTTTACTAACGCTAAGAATAATGTGAAATTGCTATATATAAAATATTAGGCAAATCAATAATGTTCCTCTTCATGAAGCAGACTAAATATACTTTTTCAAATCTCTTCATTTTCTTCATGAAATTTCAAATGGTTTTCATAAAATTCGATAACCTATTGATGCAAATGATGGTGAGTAAAAAATAAGAGATACCGAAATCAGATCTAAAAATAGAAATTTAAAGACACAGCTTGAGGGCATTTTTTATTAGCTACTGATGCCTTGTGACAACTTCGTGAACCATTTACCCTTAAAAATTTCGTCAAAGAAAAGCTGACGTTAATTTTTTTCAAAAAAAAAAAAAAAAAAGATTCAAAAAAAATATAAATTACTTAAGAGAGTAACATACCATTTAATATATACCAACAACTCTTTGGAATCTTTGTCACGTTCAACAGTTTCAACACGTTGAACAATATCTTCCCATCTTTCCTCTTCGATTTCCGAATTAGAAACAGATGGTCGGCCATACCCGTTATTATGTCTCGGCATAGCTGGTACAGGCTTATAATTTGCAAGATACCCATCATCATATTCTCTTTGAGATATGGAGGAATTTTTATGACGACTTGATTTCGTTTGATTTTCATCATTGTCATCATAACTTGTAGAACCAATCATTAATGTGTCACCATCGTTGTCTTTAGCATTATAGCGATACCGACGACGACGGCGATTTGAAACAACAGCTGATGAACATGATGAGCTTGAGGTATTTGTCATAGGCCGACCTCCTTTTTTGTCCCAGTATTCGTCAATCAAATTTGTGGCAAAGCTGTTTGTAAAAAAAAAACATTTAGCCTTTAAACCAACAACAAAACAAAACAAAAACAAACCAAAAAAAAAAAACAATAATCCATTCACATGTCAGATTCGTCTTCCCAAGTGTTTTCTTCATCTGGATAGTCTTTCCATTTGAGATAATATTGCAGTCGACCCTATAAATAAAACCATTATATAAAATTTATAAAAAAAATAAATAGTATGACACAATTTGTGCTAAAGGTTTTTTTTTACATACATTCGCAAGACGATGACCCACGACTTTTTCAACAACATATTCGTTCTCATACCAAGTTTCTATAGTAGCATCGCTATCAGTTCCATCAATTCTTTGACTATTCTCACCATTCATTTCGATCATATTACGTTGATCAGTTCTATTTATCTGGCTGTGGGTACTGGTATTTTGACTATTGTTACCCACGGTCCATTTAACTGGTCGCGAAATTTCCATTTTCAAAGAATATAAGCAAAAGCTTCGTCGCTGTTGAAAAATATTTTCGTTTGATAAAAAATTGAAACAGTTATATAGAAGAAACTAATAAATCAAATGAGGTGAGAGAATGGTTAGTTCCTTTTTTTTTTCTTGATTCCTTTTCTTAGTTCCTTTTTTCAAATATACGTTTGCAAGAAAATGTAATGACACTTATCGCATTGACGGACTCAAAATTAAATAGCTATTCATCACTGTAGCTACGCAAAGCTTCTTTTTTTATTCAACTATTTATAATCCATCATTATTTCTTTTTTTTTTTTAAAAAAAAAAATGCATGTCATCGATGTTATCATAATATACGTAATAGTATCATTTTTCAATATAGTTACAATTGATTTAAAAATTAATATAAGGATATATTGTATTGCATATAAAGATTTTTTTTTTTTTTTTTGGAGATTTAGAAAATCTTTATTCGAGTATTATTATTATATAGGTTGCATTAGTTATCTGGGTAAGTTATATATATTTCGAGTAGCAATATAATAATTATTTTTATCTGGCTCCAATTTCGAGCAAGAGTCTAAGTAGAATATAATTAAGTTATTAATTTACAAATGAAAAAAACATTCATAAATTTTCAAAAATAATTAAAATAAAAAATTTCTTAGTTTAAATATTAGCGTTAGTACATAAAACACGGGTACTTACAAAATTTGTACATATAACAAAATTTAATACTTGGCTTAACGCTAAAGCTAGATTAGTAGTGTTTAAAATTTAAATATTGCATGGTTTATATTAAAATTTTGTAAAAACTCTTTTGTTAGAACCAGTGTTAACGTTTTTATATATTTTTACTGTGGGATATCCGCACAGTTTATAAACTTTTTCCGTGCGCAAAACTTTTTACATAGTGAAAAATAATCACTGGTTAGAACCCTGAAAGAGGTTAATTATATGTAAATGGTTGTGTTCTTATAGTATACGTTATATATGTAGTATACAAATAAACATTTCAAAAAAAAAAACATTGTAATAATTGTATACGTATAGATATATTGTTTATATTTAAAAAACAAAAGAGGCAACATTTAGATTTAAGAAAAAATTCATCCGTGCAAAGCCAGGTCTAAACCTAACATTAACACAGAGATATAAAATATATAATAGTTAATCATTAATCTGAGTGCATAGTAGTCGACAGGTTATATATTAATTTCAAGTCATTTGTTTAATAAATTTTCCGCTTTAAAATTATATAAAAAATCTTTCGCAAAATCCTATATCCGATATGTGCAATAAAATCGGATCCATTAACAAACCAAATTGTAATTACTATTATTTTTTGATAAAACGCTTGGGTACAATCAATAAAGAAGTTAGACATCTTTTTAATTCAGTAAATCTTACTAAATATTATACAAAAAGAAAAAAAGCACAAAATATTTACGATGATTTTTTTTAATAAAACTGAAAAAAACAGATTTTATTGAATTAAATAATTTTACGATTTCAAAATTAATCATTAACACTATATTCACTTTACACCAATAATACAAAAATTTATAACTTCGTAATAAAAAAACAAAATTTCATCTTTATTAATTGTTAATAATTAACGAAAATAAATTGGTTCATCAATTCTGTTGGTATAAGTTACGAAATTAGTTGTACAATTATATATTATAATAAACATTCGAAATATATCTAAAATACTCACCACATCAAAAACGGGCACTCATCAGAAAAATAAATTGTTATTTACAAATGCGTTATCAACTAGTCCAGTTTATCGAACATTTTCATAGAGGAGCTTATCAATTTTCCGAGCTTCGCATCTTTCATATCTTTTCTCTTCACATCGAGTTCATCTTTCATATCTCTCCTCTTCACATCGTATTCATCTTTATTTTCTTCGTACTTTCGTTTTATTGTTAATTTTACTAAGGCTCGAACTCTTCTTCGTCTCCTATATATCAATATATATAACGTATTATTCTTAAATACCGCTAAACGTCAGTTCGATGAAACCCTAAAGTATTTGTGCAAAAAAAATAAAATAAATAGAGAGAGTGATTAGCGTTAAGGTATTAAACACTAGTAAGACCAATTAACTATGTGACCTAATATAACGGGTTATATTAAAGCTTGCCCTACACCTTAATATAACCTTACGTCCCACGCTTTCTAGTGCCTCGTAACATTTCTGAAAAATGTCACGATTCGTAGGAATAGATCAGAAATATTCCGGAAACCATGATACATCCGATTATTTCGAACGATTCGTAGAAATACACCAGAGGTATCAGGTAAGCAGCAAAAAGCCTGGGATATAATCTTGGGGCAGTTATATTAGGAACGAGAAGTACAGACGCAGTGTAGCGACTCGACCAACCAACCCTTTTTTCAACATATCCGAGGAAGGAACGTAACCGAACCCTCTTGTAGGAACGGTAGACCTCAATATATGAGAAAAGAAGAGTTGTAACTTCAAGTGCCAGCACCTTGAAGCGGCACATTAATCGATACTTACTTAAGTTACTCTTCTTCTAAGTCTTGTTTGGTTTATTGTAAGGTTATTTTTAAGCTATGTATTATGTGTAAGTTTTTAAATAAAAAAAAAACAAAGGAATTGTTTTGATCGTTTTTGATCAAAATAACAACTGATCGACATTTCACGTGGAAATATTCTATGAAATTTCTAAGATCACATGATGCAACTTTATGTTACGAACGACCCACCCGCAAAAGCAACGTTGCTTAAACGGCTTGTTCATTGGTAATTGTCGCATCCTTTGATTATATTGTTTATTGTCCAATGTGATAAATAGCATAATAAAAAGATGTGACAATTACCAATGAACATGTCCATTTAACAACACTGCGCAAAAGGGTTCCTGCAAATCCGGACCACTCCGTATACATCGGGACCAATAAAATAACGAAGATCTTCGTGTAACAAAACAAAAGCAAAAAACTAACAAACCGTAGCTAACACAAAATTTTACTATGTAACCTGCTTTTGACCTCTAAGTAAAAATTTTTAGAATAAAATTTTACATATAGTGTTTATAGTTTTGTTTTTTTTATACAGTACAGCAATAGGTAAATAAAAGGCGTCTGTAATATTTAAATTTTGACATAAGGGAATGGTAATTTCGGATCAAATTATAGGGCAATTTGATTAACGTTAAAGCATCAAAGTTTTTAATTCATAAATTTGATTATACACGGATATAATAAACAAAAAATCTTTAAATTTTACACTAGTTCTGTATAGAGTTATGTTTCTTAAGAAACAGTGATTTTTTACATAGGGTGTTGACTGTATATATATTTTTTATAAGACAAAACAATTTTTGTTTATGTTGAACCAATAGACAAAAAATTGCCAGATCTATTTCACTTAAAACTATGAAAAAACATTTCACAATGTTAAACTTATAAGCCAAAAATTGTAACAGACGATAATCTATTTGAATTACATAGTACCTTTTTGGCATCAAAAGTTCTTTTTAAGATGTGATCACTTTTTGATTTTCATAATTTTGTAACTTCAATGAAAAAAAACTGCTATTGTTATAGTAACGAAATAAAAAGCTGTTATTATCGTTATAGCAATGATGAATAACTTGTACTCAAGATTGCTTGATAGTCAGATCTGAAATCACATGTAACCGGTAGACCTGTCCGGTTATAGTCCGGTTACTGGGACGCTAAGGTTAAATTATATATACGGTAATAATAAGGCCATTCCAAGTTGATTTTGTTCTAATTTCCACCATAGATATAATCTGTAGCTTCTTTCCACTAAATAAAGGCCTTCGATCGATCGATCATGCATGTACTTACGTACATACATATCTGATATCAGATATGCAACATAGAAGGAAGGGCATTCGTATGATTGGCTGATGTAAGTACTTTGAGAACGTAATGTTTCACTAATAAAAAGTAAAAGTCGAAAAAACGTCTAGATTCACTATGTAAAATAATAAGTAACCCCAAGAAGTTCGTTCAGAAGTATAAATTTTACCAGTTTATAATTCTAAATCCCGGAAACGATCTCAATTCGAAAGAAGGTTGAGCCATTATAAGTAAGCTCTAACTCTTTAAGACCATTATATATATCGTATCGTTTGACGTGTTTTCCAATAAAAAACGTAATACTAGCATTTCGTGCATGAATTAACATTAAAATTGATAAAATATGTATGAGCAGTGATATATTGGCTGAAAGTTGTTAAATATCTTCGATAAAGGTTATGGTATCTGAGAATATGATAGAATTATTATTTCAAATATAATGAAACCTTCCCTAATATGTACTAAAGAATTTATTTATACCAGCATATTGATCTTGTTAATTGGTTTTACAGTATTGGTTGATAGCCACGTTTTGATCGATAATAAAACAAAAGATTTCCTATGATGTAGCTGAAATGAAGGATTTCACATAGCTCTATTGAATAATGTTCCTTGTAAAAGTTTTATGTGAAATTATTAATGTAGATCTAATTCGAAGTTTAACCCGGATCCTATCATTTTCTCGACAACCGCTCTCCCGAGATTGTCAAAATCCCGACAAGTTAGTCTGCACTAGGTTAGCGGTAACTATAGTTTCAGTCAATTTTTATCAGGATTTTGTTTGTCGGGAAAATGATAGAGACCCATTTTAACCTAATGTTTAACGATTATTAATACTTGATGTCAACTGAAGTTTATTTTGATAGGTTGCTAACATACTCCAGAAAGAGTATCGGTCGTACCCAAGTTACCTTTTTACAGCTGCTCTCTTAATTATGGAACCAACTAATATTAACTGTCTCCTAAGATAACGACGTAGTTTCGGTGAAATAGCAAATTTTTATTTTGTCTCGGAATCTGAGAACAACTGTAAATTCCGCATTCTCTAATTCCGAATTTTTTTTTCCCCGTGAAATGGTGTTAAATGTTTTTTTTCAATTTGATTTTTTATTCTTTGTTTCCATTCTAAGTAAAGATTATCTCTATATTATTAGTGATACATATATATTTAATTTGGATTTGCGATGAATAAAATTATTGTTGAAATGTATAACTTACTCGATTAAGTCACAAATAGAAATATTAAGGCGTGATTCAAATTTTACTTTATAAGATAGTTCAGTAGGTAATGCAGGATTTCACTCTATTCATCGACCGTTGGGCTGTTAGCCTTCCAAAATATTTATTTCTCAAATCTTTTGCATACGTATTATTGTTAAATAACACAAAATACAGTATATAGTATTATATATGTTATACGAATTTTTATACGTACGTAAAAACGTATGATGATTTTTTCCTATAAAGGTAGATAGATATATTTTTTTATAAATTACAGTTAAATAATTTGACCAATAAAATCAAACTTTTATTAGAATTCTGTTCATACAATTCGTTCAGGCTTTAATTATCTAAAATTACGGCTAATGTTTACAAGTTCTTAATCAATTTTATAGAGACGGACTTATCAGACACATGATTCATTAAATAGAATTTTATTATAGAATTTATTATAATCTATCAGGAATCTGATTACCGTTACTGTTTTTAAAAAGCGGAGCCGGCAAAAACCGAAATTACAGGTTTTCGCTTTACAGTCCTCATATCTTATCTACCTAGTGTATTTAAAATTATAATTAAAAATATGTACTTTTTATTATCGAAAAAAGGTATTTAAAATTACATATTTTTCAATTATTAATTCTTTAAAAATACATAAAGTGAAGGTTTTATTTAAAAATCAATAGTTTACTGTTCGTATCTATCGGAAATTTTTCAAAAAGAATGAATAATGAATAAATGAATAAATGAATGATGTGAATTATACATTTTAATAATCAACTCGACTATTATTTTCCCTCTGCGGCTTTCAATTGCTTAATAATATTTGATATACTCTTCAATAATTTCAAACTTCTATGATCTCCCAAGAGAGCTGTATGAAATGCATTCATACAATAACCAAAACCAACTTTATGTTCAGGACTCCAAAGTAACATACTTCCACCCGACCCACCCCAACCCCAAAGTTCCCACTCAAACCCATCAATATTAAAATTACCAACTCCACCAAATGCCATTGTTATGGTTTCATGAATTGCTAAGTCATACTCTGTCTTATCTTTTTTTGTTAATAAATCAAATGTTGATTTTTTAAATAATGGTGGTTCTTTTGAACCTGGTAATGGTTGTCCTCCATTAGCCATCATAGCTGCTAATTTGGCCATTGATCTTGAATTTGTAACACCATTATAACTTGGTCCTTCATATTGCAACATTTCAAATTTATTCCAATCTTTTGGTTGTGATTGATCAGGAGATGTGCCCACCAAAGTTTTAAAAGTCACTGTACTAGAATCGAACATATAATTAAACAAAACGTGAAGTGGATTTGAAATCATCCATTTTGGTAATATCAATTTTCCTAAAACTCTAGGTAATGGATATGTATAAATATTTGCTACCCGAGAATAAAGTTCTTTAGTTGTTTTATAATGAAAATCAATCCCATAAGTTGGTAAAATTTCTTCGGCAACAATTTGTCCAATCGTACGATGTTTAATATCCATTCTACGAACTATGGCGTTTAAAACAAATCCACGTGTAAGTGCATGATAAGATCTAGTTGGTTTTCCATTAAAGTTATGAGGTTGACTTGCAAGAATCTTTTCTAAATGATCAAGATTCTCTAAATCACTAATAGTCAATTGTTTAACATCAATCCATCCTACACCTGCGGTATGCGTCATAAGTTCACGTAAAGTCACATTCTCCTTGTTACCTTGTGCAAATTCTGGCCAATAAGTTGTTACCTTTTCAGAATAGTCGAGGAGTCCCTGTTCAACTAATCGTGCAATCACGACTGCACTCTATATTCAGAATAAAATTAATTATTCATTAACAATTTTATCTCAAATTAAAGTTTAAGAATAATACTAATAAAATAATACTAATAAAATATTATTTACCAATACTTTTGTACATGAGAATACAAGTTGCAATGTATCTTTATCATAAATTCTACCAGTCTCAATATCAGCAATCCCTCCGGTTAAATCAACTACAACTTTATCTTGATAATAAACTGTAACCGCTGCACCAACTTCTTCTCCACTTTCAAGATTTTTCTCAAAAATTTCTTTAACTTGTTTAAACCTAGGATCCACAAAACCTCTAACTGTATCTTTGGCTACAGGACATCTCAAATTAAGTAGTTGGCAAGATAACGGTAGGAAAGGTCCTGAATTTATATAACGATATATGAAAAATCCAATAATTAAAGGTAAAAAAAATGAAAGTCGAAAAAAAATTTGTTGAGATGATCGTTGTAATTTCGTTTTTTCGGAAGGATGTTTTGATAATTTGTTCATTTTGAGACGACTTGATAAAATTATATGATATAGAAACTAGCAAGTGAAGTATGTATGAGGCGAAATAATTAAAAAATGTCGAATTTTTATATTGATAATCTATTTTCAAGAAAATATTTCCATGAAATACAGATTTGTCACTTTGTATCTCTATGATTTTACCAAAAAGTCATGGGTGACTGTCCAGCAAAACTAAAATTCGACGTTACCAATAGAGGAATAAAGTTGTTAATATTTAAAAAATATGATAAATATGATAAGCAGGATTTGATTTTCTTTGTCACTTGAAAACAAAGACGATTTTTAAAGACGCAAGAAACTCGTTTTGGTGTACGCTGATTTGTTTCAAATTACACATGTTTTTTTAAAAATGTATAATAGTAAATGGATTTATAGTGTTAAGACAATATAACCAAACAATTGTCCATATGCGGTGCCCACATACATCCCCAATATGGAGTTTTACACTACACACGTGATTTATATAAGCCCTTTTAAATACGAATTTAGTATTTACCAGTTGTTTTTTAATAACTTCTCCAAAAAAAAATACTTAAAACATGCATTTTATCATGTGATACAACTTAATTACTTATTATATTTGTATACTAAATAAAAAATAATTTAAATCATTTAGTATTTTGGAAGCACGTAACGAAAATCTTTAATTGTATCGAACTTTGGCAACCACGGAGACAAAGAGTAACCGATCCATGGACCAGTCAAATATTTGATTACATACATTCTTTAATTATATTAGTTTGCTTTTCAAAGTTTGGTAGCTTCGGAGTTTCCGAAATAATTTACAAAGAATTATTTTGCTCCTTTATTTTTTTTAATCATCATTACCGATAAATGAAACATGCGATTAGTAACAAAAATTCAAAAATTTTTACTACACAATTTATTTAGTGTTAATGTTAGACTAGAATTATACGTATGCAATTTTTGATTCTATATCTAATATTCTTTCGGATTGTTACGTAGCCCTTTTACTATACGTAGTAACATTTTTGAATTTTTCATGCATTTGATTAGTCAGCTTATCGACTTCATTCCCCAACCGGCCATTGTAGGTGACTATATTGAGATTAGACTGTAACATATTTATAACAATTATTGTTAAGAAAAAAAAAAATCAAATAAATCAAATACAAAATAAATGAGTTTAACCTTCCATAACTATGTATACATAACACTCCTACGTGGAATCTATGCATGTGCATTTAGAGTATATGCGCATTTAATAACTATTAAATAAAACCCAATAAAAAATATACAAATAAAGTATAGTCAAAGCTCCCTAAATGCACGCCCTTAAGAACAAAGATAAGTGTGCACTTAAAGGGGTGTGCGTTCATAGAATTGGTGTTTAGCCAGTAAAGCCAAATTAGTGTTCCGATTCGAATTAAAGAAACTCGTTTGGATCCAGGACTGAACCAAAACTGATGCGGAACTGAAACTCGCGATGGCTAAATTTATATAATTATGTATACAAGTTAAAATTTGGTTAATATCAGGTTTAATCCGGCTCAATCCTATTCTTTTGCCCCAACCGTTTTTTAACTCATAACAAAAATATTATTTTAAAACCATTAATTATAAAACTATTATTCCAAACAATGTATTTATAATTTTTTAAATAAAAATCATGTGAGATACATTTTATATATAAAATATGTATCAGTTTGAAATATTTTTATAAACTTTATTAAGAATTTATTAAAAAACTTTTAAGCAATAAAATTTAAATTTTCTATTAAAATTTTATATACTGTATATTTTTGAAAAAAAAAAATTTTTAGTACAATTATAATACTGTATTACTATCTATTAAAAATCATAAGCCTAGAATTAAATATTTAAAAAGCTTATCAAATATTTTTTTAACTTTTTTTTAATAGTTATTTGGTTTATACTTTTCAAAAAAACCAACTAACAAAAAATAATTTACTGTAGTTAAAGCTTATTTCAAATACTACAAGGCTTCTTGTTAGATTATCTAGATCTTGAAATAAATACTAGAAATAGAAATTTTGATCTGTAATTTTTGAAAGTCTTAAAAGCTTTGAAGTAAAACATGTCTAGTATAAGCTTATAGACTATATAAATCAGTATTGTCAATTTTTTTGTTCTAATGATAAAAATTATATTCTATTTTAGTTTTTGTTACTTTTATTCTATTGTTCTATTCATTTATTGCTATTAATACGTACTAATTATAATTAGTAATTAACAATTTTTGTTCTATTGCCTATATATACATATATAATTATTGGATTAGCAATGTAGCTAAGATGATAATGTCTATAAAGAAGTGATCGCTGTATCAAGATCACGGGAGGATTATTATTACTAATCTTATTTTATAATCATTAATTTGCGATTATCGGTTAGACTATTTTTTTTTTGATTATTACTGAGACTTTTTGAAATTAAGAAACCCGAATTACTTACGTGTCGACCACATGACGCATATACCACTAGGAATCGGAATCCGGTGCATTAAGAAGAATTAATCTGTGTTAGATAAAAGCCGGTGCCAAATCATATCGATATTTTGATTTATAGTGGAAATCACGTGATTGAGCGGACAGAAATACGTTTTTAATGTTATGTATCACTCTGTATAGAATTTAAGAGTCCTTCGCTTATCTCAAATCGAGTGAAACTAATATAATTATCGCGTCAAACCCATCCATCCATCTGTTGATGATATTCTCTTAACGTTAAATATATATATATGTTGACACAAAATATCAATGGCTAATTATGGTCAAATAACTTAACTCACACTAAACATATGCGTCATTTAAATTTAGGTAGTGTAAAAGTTGCTGTGATGCTTAAGATTTTATATAACGATAATAGTCTTCATGATGCTCTTAATTTCGACCTTATTCGTACTATGGCATACCATACTGCATGTACTCTTGCATCTTTTGATGTAATTAGGATGTTAACCATTTGAATTTTCCGCTTTCGTAAGATATTCTTTGATCCATTTTATTCATATTAATATATAATCATCGATGTATATTATTTTATGGATTCATAATACAGCAGAGACAGTGCCCGATCCAAAGTGAATCCTCTCGCCTGTGATCAATCACAAATTAAATTATTTATGTTGGATTCAATTGTGATGGAGTATAATCCTCCCCAGTTTTAATATATGTGTAACCTTAACGGTCTCTGCTGTTGATTCATAATCATTGCAAAATTTGCTTTTTTTATTTAGCTCACAACTGTAAGTGATAGTTAAGACCCCTAGCATCACCACCCTAAAAAAAAAATTGCGTTAAGGTTAAGGTTTTTGGGTATTTTGTTTTGATTTTATGTTACACCTAATCTTGAATTTTGATTTTTTTAGGGTGATGACGCTAGGGTGGTTGGATGATAGTTTATGATCATTGGTCACGCACCCTGATTGGTAGGTCTGTGCCTTGAAAATGATGTTACGGACATATGTCATTTTCAATAAAATTATATAACGATAAATTTCTTAAAATAAAATAATAAAAGGTATGAATTTCCAAAAATATATATCTTATATATATATAATATATATATATAATCTAATTAATGAAGAAAAAAATAATCTCATCAGTATTGTGGTATTATATGAAAATGTTTTTATACGTATCAAACATTATATAAGTATATATATATAGTTAGTAATTGATCAGAGCAAATAGTTTAGGTGCTGGCGTGTAATAGTTTTAAAAGCGGACTATGTAATATTATCTAGATGTAATTTCAAAATGACAAGAATAATAATGTAACGAACAAACATGAAGTAGTAAAAGAATCTATATTTAATAGTTTATGACAAAAAAGGAAAACTCGTAAAGAAAATTAATTTGTAGAAGAAAAAAAACAATATTTATAAACTATCGTGTCTTTCCTTGGATGGCGGAATATATCAAAAAAATATCCAAGCAAACAATAATAAAACAAACAATACTCGAAATAATGATTAACCAAACTGGATTCGTAAAATCCAGTAAATATTTCTCATCCACCGAAACGTTCGTTAATTTATTACCATTAGACTCCGCAGGTATCAAAGGAGTCAATAATACAACCCTACCTTCTTCATTTTCATCATCCCTTTCACTCCTAGGATTAAAAGCATTTCTTACATCAACAGTCATACATTTTTTAGCACTAGTAAAATAAACCAATGGTATAATAGCGAATGGTAGCTGAACACACAATGCTACTTGACTAGCGACCAGCATATCTGTCAGTCCATTTTGCCCATTTATAACTGCAATTAACATTGCAGGTGCAATAGCAACAGCACGTGTGAATAGTCGCCTCATCCACGAAGGTATTACCCAACCAAGGAATCCTTCCATAACAACTTGACCTGCTATAGTGGCTGTGAGAGTCGCGGATTGCCCAGATATTAATAACGCCAAGGCAAATATAATACCTGCGGATCCTCCAAGATACTTTGTTAATAAATTATAAGCATCAAATAAACCAGCTACCTTTGATGATGCATTATTGTTATTGTAATAAAAATTTGTTGCAGCAACAATCAATATCGCAGAATTTATAAATAGTGCGAATGTTAACGCTACAGAAGAATCTATAGAAGATAATTTTATGGTTCTGTAGGTTATTTTTTTAATCATCGTCTTGACCGAATGTACTTTTTGATCGGATTCAATTTGGTTAGCTTCTAAGCTATTATCTATATCATTCAATACTTTAGATTCTTCGCGATATTTCCTAACTTTGATTAGATGTGAATGTAAATAAAGATTATGTGGCATAACAGTTGCACCAATTATACCAACAGAAACGAATAATTCTTTTGAATCAGTGAATAAGTCAGAATTAGGTAAGTATCCTGAAAACACAAGGCTTGCAACTGGTTTAGAAAGAAATAATTCCACGATAAAGCAAGCACCGATTATACTGACTAATATCATCACAAGAGATTCTATAATTCGTGAAGAGTTTAGGTTATTTTCACGATAGATTAGTAAGATTATCATAACGTCACATGCGGTTATAGCAACTCCCAATGGTAAAGGAATACTGAAAAGAATATTTAGAGCAATTGCACTGCCTATAACCTCCGCCAAGTCAGTTGCAATGATTGCAAGTTCACATAGCATGTATAAAAAGTATCTCAAATATGGTGGGAAAAAAGCTCTGCATGCTTGAGCAAGATCTAAATTTAATAATAAATTGTAAAATATTAATTGAAAATTTTTTATAATGGTAATTTTAAAATTTTACATACCCATCCCCGTGACAGTGCCTAACTTGATAGCCAAGCTTTGTAACAACATTGCAAAAAGATTTGATAATAAAATTATGAAAAGAGGCGAGTATCCGAAATTAGATCCACCTAAAATTTGTTTTTTTTTCTATGTTCAGGGTAGGAACCTCTAAAGTCAGCATGCCGAATATTACATATATTTTACTACCTGCTAAATCAGTCGCCCAATTTCCGGGATCAAAATATCCAACAGCTACAACTATAATCTCAAATAAAATAAATAAAAATGACGATCAATAATTTTTTTAAAAAGAAGTGATTATTATAAACAACCAAAACATTTACCATATCCAGGTCTATTAAATTAAAATATATAAGTTCAATCAATACAATTTTATATATACAAAAAAAAATGAATGAACATAAAAGTGAATTACCCAACAAATCCAAGGAACTTTTTAAATCCTAACCATACTAAGTTAAGACTGCTTCCTACTTCATCAGTCGTCTTTGTTTTTTCATTTTCATTATCACTACTTTCTTGCGCTAAACTTCTCCTAAATTTGTTTTGAGTCAACCTATTCTGTGACGTTCCAACACCACCACCGCTTTCGTATTCTATTTCAAAAAATTCATCTTTCCCTTCATTGTCAAAAATTTTCTTGTAAGGATGGTTAATATCATTATTCATTTGTGAAAAAACTACAAGATGAATAGGACGATGTACGTACGACAGTGTTTTTGAGATGTCGATTAATTATGTTCGTGTGGCTGTGTACTGAAACTTGGTCCTAAGCCTCGTTAAAAAAAAAAAAAAAAAAGGATTAACTCTTTTATCTGAATCACGTGTCCAATTTACATTAATAAATCTGAACGTATACTTGAGACACATTGAAAGCTTATTAGGTTGTTCACTGTTTTATTATTTATTCATTGATGAAATCGGGTTATTGAATATTGATTACACTTAAGGATCTGAAGAAATGAGGAAGCAGAAAGAAAGATATCATATTATGCAACTCATACTTTCGCATTTGCTTTAAAGGCATTCGCCAATAACCCCGAGGCAATAAGGTTTTAATTTTTAGCTTGCATGTTAATGAATCATCTATATATATCTGTACTTTATCTCTTCAAATTAAAAGATAGGAAATGAATTGAGAATATAACGCCTAATTTCATTATATTAATGTAAAAAATGGTGATATTTCAATATTTAATAAAAATTGAGGCCATACAAGTTCATTGGTACATTTCCATTAATTAACACCTCTGTACAATTCATATCATTAAAATCAATTCATGTCATCGTATAAAAGAACAAAAGACAAAGCATTCGCGCAAAAGTATGATCCGGTATCTGATATATATTCTCCGTATTTAAAATATAAATATCCAACAATTATTAAGGTATATACACTAACTCTGTATCATAATTATCCTATCTCTTAATTCATTCATATCTGTAAATGGACTCGAATACAAATTCGAAATCTTTTTTGTGCAAGGGATAGTTTAGTGTAGCATCCTTGTTAATATCTTGCAACGTAATCTATATTAAAACTAAAAACTTCGCTCGTAGTGAACACTCCAACAAATGTTATAAATTCATTCCAAAAAACACAGTAGGCATTTTTTACGGTATCAATCCAAATTTATAAGTGGAAACTAGTTCATGGATCCAAATGTTGAGCTTCCTAATTGTTTCTGGATTAATAACTATATAGCTAGAATTATCATTTACAATAATAAAAAACTTTTAAGAAATTAGAAAACAATTTTTGATATAAAATCTTGAAAGCCCAATGAATTCATATTAGGAGTTTATATTTCATTTCTAGAAGACGCTTTTATTGAATTGTACTCATTTACCACGTATGTATATACTTATGTACATACCAGGTAATAGAAGGTCGTGACCTTCGATGCGGCAGTATTCTAGATTTACTGATCTTAAAAATAAAAATTTCATAATTTATTGAACTTTGTCAGGACATTGCCGAATCCTAACAATTCAGTATCTCGATTTGACTAGTAAGATCAAGGGTCAAGTTTTGGTTCCTGAAAGATCTAAAATTTCCTACGGAGATCACAGTTACAAACATTACCAATGATAATCATTTACGTTGTCAAAAAAGATTATAGATCTTGACATAGTCTGTTGCTCCAGGTTTTTTCCTTGTTGTGTATACAAGATCAAAAGTAAATTACTTGTAATTTATCGAATTGCTTGCTGATAAGAAGCATCACCATCAGTATTGTTAATTTAACCGAGACAATGTTAATTAACTATTTGAACTAATGAATCGGTTATTTAATCAATTAACTGAGTCAATACAATTGAACGTTCTGATATCTAAAATGTTTTATTTATAGATTGTTTCATTTTCAATCTGTTTATCCACGGGACTGACTCAAGTTGCGTCAAACTCTATTCGAAGCATAAACTTTATAATGCAGCAGATCAACTTTATCAATTCTAGTTAGGGGATGCTGTCAGCTCATTCCGCTATATTCATTAATCTGTTTTTATTATATATAGTTAAATATACAAGCTAGATAAAGACCTAATTTATAGTATTGCAGTGTGATATACTATACTAAATTTATACACGTGAGATTGGGGTGTGCAATATACTATATAAATCAAAAACTCATTTTGCAATATGATTTATATATAAAAACTGGGTCTCGTTTTTTTAGATGCGCAGGTCGCACCTTTCTTGATATTAATTGGTTTGTTACCATATTTATAAAGTTACAAAGTTTATCTATAGGAACCCCACTTTTTTTACGTGTGATCGCTACCCATTCGTTTAAAAAAAATTTCAAACAAATGATATTTTTTTCGATAGAAAGACTTATTTGGCTTCATTGAGCAAATTTGGATTTATAACAACCAGTTTTAAGGGCTGTAATTAAATTTTCATAATCTTCGAAATTTGCAATCAAAAAACATATCAATTGACTTTGTTCCACCAAAAATCTTCAACATGTATTAAATTTTTATTTAGTATATATACCTATAGATGTAACCAAAAATTGATATAATCGAGCTTCAATATATTCCTCTAAAGGTACAACCACCTCAATTCAACTTTCTATAGTGTCAGATGTACAGTTTAATAGTTTGCATACAATAGTGCCCAACTTCATTTTCTTAGTAGCATATGATGTTGGATTTTCTTGTCCTGGAGTTTGAGCAAACCCGCCAATTAGCAATCGATATATTGTACCATTCTTCCATTCATTAACTGTTACACATGCTTTTTTTTTTATTGGATTTAAATAATCTTTGATAGACAATTATAAGACATAAATGACACAAATGAATGCATAAATTCATACGTATAATGATGATGTTAAATTTTTGAATAGAAAAGGGTGAACAAATTTGGTTTGATTATTGATGCTTAAAAAAGTAGTTAGTCAAGTAGTACGGTATGACAATGCAAATTAGGACAGACGTACGAAAATTGGGTACAGTACGTACGCTTAAAAAAAAAAAAAAAATCGTACTAGTAGTTACTCATAACAAACTATTAATAAAAATGAAGACAAAACCTTACCTTAATACCAAAAAAAAAATCAATTAAATTTATCTAATTCTTTTTTTTTAAATATTAAGACGAGTCATGCTTTTATTTTTATTAAAACTTAGTTAAAATTTTTACAAATTATATAGAAGTTTATATTTGAATTTTATATCTATTAGATATTAAGATTAGAGGCTTAACAAGTTATCTGTGACCTAAATCTGAAATTTATCTGATTTTCATAATACAATTATATTAAAAAAAATAAATAAAATATATAATTAAAAATAATTATCTTAATTAGAAATCAAACAAATTTTTTAAACACTTATTAAAAAACTAAAAAAAAACTATTTAGAAGTTACAAAAATATTATAAAAAATTTAAAAGATTTATTAATATTGAAAATTTTACCATTTTTATTGCAATAAAAAACATATTAACTGCAAAAGATAAGGTTTTAATTGTTAGTAATAGAATTAAATAGTAAAAAAAGTTAATAGTAATGTATAGTAGTTAATATTTTTAAGGATGAAAAACAAAAATATAAAAAAATATTTATCAAAGAATAAAAAGATTATTTTAACTTAATGAACATTATCAATCTTTATTTAATTAATTTCAACTATTTTTAATATTTTAAAATTAAAAAATAAATTTTTTTTATTATCTTTAGTGTTAACACCTAGAGGCATATGTAATACTCTTTTATTAAAATTAATATTTTAAATATATTGTATATATTTATATATATATTTTGTTTTTTGAAAACTATTTTTTAGAGATAATCAAAAAACAAAAATTAGATAGTAAAATTACAGCTTACTTAGTAGAAGTCCTAACAAGAAACAAAATGTAAAACAAAGATGAGTATACTTTTTATATAGATGGAGTATTATATAAAAAAAAAAGAGTAAATAGTATAAAAAAGAGTAAATAGCATAGAAAAGATGAGCATAGGCTAGGTACAGATCAACAAAGAAGAAAACTGGCCAGAAGAAGAAATTACATTAGGTCTTGAGGACTGGCTTTTAGCAATAACAGTAGAATTTGCAGCAATATGATCAGCAATTTTGATAGTTTCAGAAAGGAAAAATATAGAAGTACATACAGACAGTTTTGCAATACTAAGGAACATTAACAGAGCAATTCAAAAGTTAGAAGATGCCAAAATCCTTAAAAAAAAAATGCAATATAAATAATGAATATTGTAAATTTGGTCAAAAGCAAAAATAACAGAATTAAGCTAATTAAAGTTAAAAGTTACAGCAATAATAAGTAGAATGACAGAACAGATGCACTTGCAAAGAAAAAAGCAATATGTAAAATGGCAATATCTATAGAAAAGATTAAGTGTAATAAAATAGAGTACTATTTAGAATGAGAAAACAAAAAAGTCGATATACCAACATAACTTCTTTGCAAAATAGTTGTAAATACTAAAGTGGAAGCCAGCTAGAATAATATAAATTCGATTTAAGCATTAGAATCTGAAACAAAAAACACTTAATATAATTGGTCAAGCTTTTGGAAAAAGATAAATAGAATGAAAAGCATACACTACATGACAAGAAAACTTAGTACAAGAAAAGCAATAGTGATCAAATGTATAATGGATGACCTACTAATACTAGAAGAATTAAACAGAAGAAGATTAAAAATATATATATTTTCAAACTGCCAAGTATGTCAAACAGGTAAAAAGAAAACTTAAACACATTTGGTAAGCTACAATGAACAAAAGTGCCTATGAAAGAGAATTCAAAAGGTAGTAACAGCAATAATATAGAATAGTCTTAAAAAAAATGAAAAAACCAGAATTTTACCTTAAGTACTATATGAAGCAATTTTTCAAAAAACAGAAGCAGAGAAAATTATTAACAGAAGAGCACTGATAAAAAGGTTAACTATGAACAAAGTAGAAAAAAGAATCAGTTAAATGTTAGATAAACAGGCAACACAAAGATATATAGGAATAATAACAAGAACAGTATAAAATACATTCTATGACCAAGTATAAAGAATTTGATATAGAAAAGTACAAGAATAGGAAAAGAAGATAAACATAATAAGCAAAATGAAAAAAGACACTTGAATCAGAAAAAAGTCAAGAAAAAGAACAAAGAAAGATGAATGAATAAAAGAAGAGAAAAAA